GGTAGCATCTTCTTTGGAAGGTGTTTTAGAGCCATTATTTCAAAATTTAGTGCTGAAACGTAAGGTTAAACCTCCATTACTTGCTCCATATCAACCAATTACTGTATTAATCGATAGAATTCGTTGAGAACTATCTGATTAAAGACGAAATTGTGCTTTGCAAGCAGAAAAAACCACAATAATGGCTCACTTCTTAAAAAATAGCATTTCCATGAAAAAAGGACTACCTTTTTAACTTCACAAAAATACACCAAATTAATTATTTATCGTCTGTTTTTGGATGAATATAGGGGAAGGTCCAAAATACTTGAAATGTGCAACAATTCATCATGGGATGGTTTGGGAGAAAGTTGGTAGAAATCGACAAATCGATCTGCCAAAGTAAGGTAAAGTGGGGTGAAGTGATAAGGGTTTTTGTGCACATACATAAAATTCACAATTTTTATTTTTTTGATCAGTTGAATGTCCTAATCGATAGAGAATTACCATAGCTAACACCCTATAGTCGCGAAATTTTCAAAAAAATATTTTCAAAAAAATTATGGGTACTTTTCAAAACAGTCGATTTTTGAGTCTCAGAAAAGTGGTGGGGTGAAGTGATAAATCATAAATTTTCGAACAAATGAAATAAAAGGAGCAGTGAAACTGAAATGAATGTTTATTTTATGATCAATAATAAAAAATAAATTAACAAAGAATTTAAAAAATCATTCCTCGTCTGAAGTATCAGAGTCACAATGGACACAAGTAAAGTAGTTATTTTGAATGTTGGCACATTTTAAATGACAACAACAAGTTTCACTTGTTTTTTTTTTTTTTTTGTTTTATTATTTCTTTGGATGTTCACTTGACCTTGTTCAAAATTAGACTTTTATAAAGTTCTAGATGTATTTTCTGCGACTATAACATGTTCTAGAATGTTCCATGGTTTTAAACGGATTTTTCTAGAAACTTCGACTCATTATATGTTGTCATAAGACAATGTTCTAGAATATTCCAAGACTTTCGAGAATCTTCTACAATGATTTTGACTTATATTCTTAAAAATTCTAGAATGTTCCATAAGTTTCTCGAATGTTCGAGAAAGTTCTATATGGAAATTGACCTATTTTTCTAGAAATGTCTATGAATTTCCAGAATTTTCTTTAGGTTTCTCATTCTTTCGAGAACCTTCTGTCGTTATCCATATGGATTTTTTCGAGAAATTTCTACATTTTTTTCGATTTTTCAAGAATATTCCATGGTTCACGAAAACCTAAAGCCCAATTATTAATAATTTATTATGGACTATGGTTATTAACACTTGATATCTACTAAATTTCCGACAAAACATGTCACCAAATTTCGAATGGAATTTATCACTTCACCCCACCGAAAATTTATCACTTCACCCCATCGACGTCATTTTGTGCGCAATGACGTGGAATCGAAACTATATGATATACTTTCAAAATTCTTTTGGATTTAGTTAGATATTCATTAAAACTACATGTAAAACATATTTGCCTGCTTTGAGCACCGGAAATGTTCTCAAAAATCATGACTGGCAGAGAGACTGAGAAAAACTTTTTGACGATCATTTTTGGGACTGGTCCGCGAGAGCAACTAATTTGCGTGCAAACACTTCGATGGCTGTCTATAAAATGAGCTGACAGCTCAAACTATCCTGTACGGTATATGGTTCGCCTCTCAGATAACTACCCTTGAAAATATGGCGATTTATCACTTCACCCCACTTATCACTTCACCCCACTTTACCTTACTATTTTGAAGGTTTGACGCATACTGAGAAAAATCGAAGACAACGGTCCGTTCAGTGTACTGTAAATATGTTTTCGGGTTGCCTATGAATAAAGCTAACTACCACTGAGAGAAATTTTCAAAATGCTTCTTTGGTGTTCAAATTGCGTACGCTTGAATTTAGTGCCAAAACTTTCTGTTCATATGTTACGCAGTGTATTTTCCATTGAATACAAAATTTACTTCTTTGCCACTTTTAATCTTGTGTGTTACTGTGGTATTCCAACTCCGCACGCCTGTATCAATGCCCGCAAATTTTTTGAATTTGCCATCCATAATCATTTGAACGATGCGACGAGAACGGTCGATTTCTTCGTTATTTGTCTTTTTCTTGGCCGAGTACTGCAGAGACACAGCGATTCCATCGGTGTTTATGAAAAAGTCAAACTTCTTTTTTCCGCGCACGAATCGCCGAATTTTCCGCATGTAGAAATACTGATTCCACCAATGATCACTCGCATCGTTAAAATCCTTTTGTGGAATATTTATTATGCTGGTTTTACCGTTTTTATTCTCAACTTCTACTTTTGGTAGCAATTTTTGCGAAGACAGCACCTGGTGCATACTCGAACAGTCAATTTTGAAGTGCTTTCGGCAAAAATCACACATCGGCACCACAACTAAATTCCGGATGAATGGCCGAAAGTTTGGATCGTCGAGCATTTGTTTGCGTTTGGGGCACCACTTACGTTTCTTCTTTGACTTTTTGCGCTTTCTTTTCTTTCGTTTGGGTCGGTCCTGATGTGGCCACATCGAATTGTACTCTTCTATCTCGCGTTGCATAGATAGGAACATTGGCATGGCCTTAAACCAATATTTTTCGTCAGTCGTGAGGTCATGCAGATCGATTTCTGGAAACACATTCAGGTCGTTCACCATGTCATACAACATGCCACACCGTTCGAGTTTGTTTGGATCGTGAATTGGCACTCTGATGTTTTTTTCTTTGATGATCAATTTTACAACACTTTCGATGTCACTTGGCAAAAGTTTCTCTGCTTCCTCTTGTCCGTCTGTGTTCAATTCGAACACTTTCAGTTTCAAGTACTGGGTGATGTGTTTGTTAGGATGCGTTGTTGAATTGGTGACGACGTTGTCTGTGTATTGATCGGCCAAATGCTTGAGGCCATTGCTGAAATCTTTATTGTTGGGCCAATCGATACGATGGTAGTCGTCAAGACCTAAAAATGAAATATGTTTGTCAAATGTGTAGTCAAAACTCGCTATTTTATAAACGGGATGGAATTGTTCAAAATATCTAAATAAATCAACTATTATTATTATTACCTTCGACGATTGCTTTGAATTCAGGGTCGATACGTGGCAGCTCTGCTCGTGGTCCTCGTGGCTTTGTTCCTCGTGGTCTGTACGTCCATTTCGTTTTCGGTGGCTGATTGTTATGCCATAGCACTTGGTTAAAGCAGAGTTGAATCTTTTTTTCTCCACTTTCACCAAAGAATGCGAAATCATTATTCTCAATGCCTATGTTCGTACGCCTTTTGCACCTCGAATAAGAACAGCAATGAGCCCAAAACGCAAATCGAAGTGGCTTGTAAACTCAGGTCCGTTATTTTGCTCATCAGTGCTTGCTGGAATTTTACACGAATGATTGTCTTCAGCGCACATTTGATCGTCGTAATCTCATCCTTCGTTTCTCCCTTCGCTGGTATGGATGGCTTGAAACGATCCACCATTTTCCTATTGAAAAACACACACATTCGATTTAGTTTAAAAACGAATACTATTGAATTGGCGATATTTAGACATTTTCATTGATCCATTTCAATATTTTTTACTAAATGATTTTTCATATTAATGATACCCGGCTGAGACACAAAAATATCGAGATTTTTTTATAGAAATTTACGAATGAATTAATCTCCTGGACAAATATGCACACACGCACACACATGTTTTAAATTCAATTTTTTCGAGAGACAACAGAACAAGAATCTATCTCCTTTTTTGGTACACACACAAAATGATGCAGCACACAAAAATGACAAAAATCTTCGGATTGATAACAATGGCAGTGATTTAGAGAAGAAAACAATGTAACGCATACTATTGAGTATTCAGATTCAATTTGAGCTCAAACAATAAGCTATTAACTGTTTCTCTTCTCTGAACAATGGAACCAATTCAAAATGGGTATCACCGCTTGAAATGAATTTCACCACCTCACGCAACAGAATTATGCACTGCAGAATAATTGTGAAATTCATTACTTTTTTCATAAAATGATATTTCCAACATTAAATAATTATTAGACTACTTAAACATATTTCACATTATAAATGGCTTATATTACGTGCTATGAAATAAAAATGAATTTCACAATAAGAAGTAGAGGAATAACTGCTTGAAATAAGCACGTATTTTAATTTTTGATTTATCATTAAAAATAATAGCTTTTATTGATGAATCAACCAATATTTTTCACGGAAATAAAATGATTAAGTTTACTCACACTGGTGACTTGAATCCAACAATCTGTCTTAACTCCGGATCAATCGATTGATCAAGGTTGAAATATTCGGATCAAATCGATACAAAATGCACGTATATCGAAAATAATATGAATTATCAGCAAAATCGTAGAATAATTGAAGCGTTTAATTGGAATTTACACTGCTGTAGTTTATATCGTAATAAAATGTAATATTGATTTGTTGACTTGGTATTTACAACGCCGAACGTGTTCTCGGCATTATGAATGAAGCGGCGTTTATGACATTTCGAAAACCAATGAAATGATCGTCAAATGTCATAAGGATCGGCTTCACATCAATAATATTAATTCAATATTTGACAGGATGAGAGTAAAAAGCAAATAAGTGGGGTTAGAATGCTGTGCAAATTTGAACCTTATTGTGTATAACAATAAGATTCGTATTTGCGTAGCATTCTAACCACACTTATTTGTTTTTTACTCTCAGCCTCTCATTTAGACATTAGACAATTTTTGCTTTAAAGAGTTTTTTGCTTCGGGAAGTGTCAATATCAATCGGTGCTTTACATTAATGCTACGATTTCAAACAGAATTTTATGTTCTTTAAATTGAAACATACAATTTTTTTATTTATAGATATGGGAAACACTCTAGTGTGTACTTAATAAATAATATTGTCTAATGAAATCGATTCGACAAAACTGTCAAATTGCCTAGTCGACAACAAATCAAAACACTTTAAACTTTGTTTTCATTTTCTTTTTTATTAATTGTTTTTGGCAACGAGGTTCCATTATTTAGTGTCATTTCATTAATGTTGTAGAGATTGTGTCTGTTGTGTTTATTTCAATAAAGACCAACATTTTTTTAGTATATTTTCATCGAAACCAATGTATTTGTTTTATTTTGTGGGACCAAAGTTATTGTGCTAAAATGGATTCATTCTTTGGTAACATCGTTAAGGCAAAGTTTAACAATCGTGAACATCAAATAAAACAATCATTGATTGATACACTGTCTGACAATGCAAAAGAG